GGGTATTTAAACTATCATCCCCACAGGAGGGACTCCCAAATCGCCACCTTTCCATCTCTGCTCACTGGAGGTTCCACAGGGTCCCCTGTTCAATGTGTCCAGGGTGAAACTCACCCCCTGTCCATCCTCTCCCTGTTCTCCATCTTCCAGTAGCCTGGTTGGATTGGGAGTGAAAAAAACTCAAAACAGGAAACTGAGAACATAAAACATCTTGGTTAGTGTATCAAGACATCATTGGACACGTCTCAGAAGCAAGGGTCCCGTCCTGGCCATCAGGCCTTCCGCCCAGGCCTCCAGGATTCCGTTTACTCTGCCTCCGCGCCCCCTCACTCAGGCTCCCCACCCCGCCTTCACCACCCTCCTTTCCCCTGGCTGCTCCTCTCCCGTCCACAAGAACGCCCACCTCCCTGCTGTTTTTAAAGCACCTAAAAAGAAACAAAACAAAACAGCCTCACACTGTCTCTCCTACAGACAAATTTTAACAAGAGTGCTACACCCGCTGCTTCACCTTTGGATCCTATGTCAACACCCACTGCGCCGCAGGTCAGCAGCGGCCTAGTTTCCAAATCCAGCGGCTTCTTTTCACTCTTGGCCAACCTGACCTCAGAGCAGAGCTGGACACCATGGTCCGGCTTCCCCTTCCAGAACATTCGCTCTGCCATCCTCACCTCCTCACTGACCTTCCCCGGCTCCTCTTCCTCTCCCTGTCCCTCCGTCAGGTCGCCCCAGGTTCTGACCTTAGCCCACGTCTCTCCTCACTTCACGCCGTCTCTGGGCGCCGTCATTTACTCCGAGGAATATTTAAACTATCATCCCCACAGGAGGGACTGCCAAGTCTCTGCCTTTCCAACACTGCTCACTGGCGGTCCCACAGGGCCCCCTGTTCCATGTGTCCAGGGTGAAACTCATCCCCTGCCCATCCTCTCCCTGTTCTCCCTCTTCCAGTAGTGTTGCCAAGACCCTTGCTGTTACAAGTCACTTACATGAGTAAATGGACCTTTGAACAGACTTAAGCAAAGCCTGGGGCCTCAAGTGATGTCCTCAAGACCTGGCCTCTCTCCACTTTGCTTCCCCCCGGGGCAGGCTATTCTTCCATGTTGGTTCCTGGCAGCTTCAGACTCACGGCTTCCAGATTCAAGTCCAGTGGAAAGAAAGCATCTCTTCCTGGTAACTTCTGCCCAAGTCCCTGGATTCCCTGACTGGACCACGTATCCATTCTAGAACCAACCCATCCCTGTACCCAGGGATAGGACTGCACTGATTGGCGGTCGGATTATATATAATCCAGGGAGAGCCGATTCTGGACAGGCAACAGTGGCGAATGTCCACAGTCTAGTCTCAGAGCAGCTGTTATCTTTGTCCTCTGCCCTCCCAGCCACATAGCCCCATCAATGTACCAGGTGGCTCCTATTTCCGTGTCTTCTTTTCTCTCCGTTTCTTTAGTTTGATCCCTGCTGATCGTCTCTTGCCTGGAGTATTTCTATAGTTCTGTAGGGAGAACGTCTCCCTCTGGTCACTCCCATTCCATCCATCCTCCCCATCAGTGACACAGTTATCTTTCTAAAGCTTGGATTGGATATCACCCTTCTGCTCAGCACGGTGTCAAGATCATCCCTGTGGTTTTGTGCAGTAGTTTCTTCATGTCTCTTGCTGAATAGAAGCCCCTCCTTGGTACACTCCAGTTTATTTATCCATTCACCTGTTGACAGACTTGAGTTGTTTCCACGATTTGGCTAATATGGTTAAACGTTGGTGTACAAGCCCCTGTGTGGACGTGTTTCCATTTCTCTTGAGTAGCTACCTAGGAGCAGAACTGATGGGTCACATAATAAGTTTGTGTTGACCCCTTTGAGGAAATGGCCAAGCTGTTTTCCAAACCACTTGCCCTATTTTACATTCCCGCCGGCAATGTATGAGAATTCCCTGTGCCCCGCATCCTGGCCCACACTCGCTATCACCATGCCTTCTAAATGTAATTATTCTGCAGGTGTGTAGTGGTATTGCGTTGCGGCTTTAATTTGCATTTCCCTGAGTGTGACATCGCACGTTTTTGTGTGTGCTCTATGGCCCTTTGTATGTTTCTGTGTGAAATTCACTGTGTTAATTTGCTAAAAAACTGTTAAGAAATTTTGCATTTATGTCCATGAGGGATATTGGTCTTCAGTTTTCTTTTCTTGTAAAACCTGTTTATTTTTGGTATCAGAGTAATACTAACCTCATAGGATGCTTTCTCCTCCATTTTCTGAAAGGCTTTGTATAGGATTGATACCAATTTTTCGTTAAGTGTTTGATGGGATTCATAGGTGAAGCTGTCTGGGCCTGGAGTTTTCTTTGTGGGGAGGTTTTTAATGACAAATTTAGTTTCCTTAATAGATATAAGGCTACTCAGATTTCTGTTACCTCTGTCAATGTTGGCAATTTGTGCCTTTCAAGAAATATGTCCATTTTGGGGGGAGGGTATAGCTCAAGTGGTAGAGTCCATGCCTGAGGCCCTGGGTTCAACCCCCAGCACCTCCACTGAAAAATCAAACAAATAAACCTAATTACCTACCCCCAAAAAAAAAAAAAAAAAAAGAAAAAGAAAAAGAAAGAAATGTGTCCATTTTATCTAAGTTGTTAGGTTTAAAAGCAAAAAGTTACGCACAATCTCTTTGTTATCCTTTGAATGTCTACAGGCTCTGTAATGATGTCCCTTTTTCTCTTTTTCACTGGAGTATCTGAGGCTGGCAGTGGGGGTAAGAAGAGCCAAATCCTAATCTTGCACAGTAGCAGATCAGTAGGTAACACCTCTGATGGAAGGAAATCAAGAATAGATGGTAGATATGACCCAGGAATCCCACTCCTGGGCTTGTACCCAGAAGGAAATCTACTTCAGGATGACACCTGCACCCCAATGTTCATAGCAGCACTATTTACAATAGCCAAAACAAGGAAACAACCTAAATGCCCATCAACAGGTGACTGGATAAAGAAGATGTGGTATATTTATACAATGGAATACTACTCAGCCATAAAAACAGACAACATAATGCCATTTGCAGCAACATGGATGCTCCTAGAGAATGTCATTCTAAGTGAAGTAAGCCAGAAAGAGAAAGAAAAATACCATATGAGATCGCTCATATGTGGAATCTAAAAAACAAAAATAAAGCATAAATAAAGGACAGAAATAGACTCATGGACAGAGAATACAGACTTGTGGTTACCAGGGGGTGGAGGGTGGGAAGGGATAGACTGGGATTTCAAAATTGTAGAATAGATAAACAACATTACACTGTATAGCACAGGGAAATATACACAAAATGTTATGATAAATACACAGAGAAAAATAAGTGTAGACAATGAGTGTGTATATGTCCATGAATAGACTGAAAAATTGTGCTGAACACTGGAATTTGACACAACACTAGTAAAATGATTATGAATCAATAAAAAATGTAAAAAAAAAAGAATAGATGGTAGAAACATGGCATTTGGAAAAATGGAGGTAAACATAAGAAGAAAGGTGAGAAGAGCTGAAAGCAGTTGCCCCTGTGGACAGGATTAGTGTGGAGTGAGGCATGGAGGGGCAAAGGATGGAAGCCAGTTCATTCTAAACTAGTGCAAAGTTCAAGTGCAGGGTTCTTTCACGCTAGATCTTGCCTCTCTCCTCTGCCTTTCCCTCCCTCAGCACAGGCTGCACTGAAGACGTGCTCCATGTTTCAGTCCTTCTGTGAGTTCCGCTTACAAGGAGCATTAAGGGCCTTGGCTCAGTCTGGTTTCCCTGGTTGTCAGACCCAACTCCCAGGCCATTTTCAGAGACCACAGACCTGAACATCCCCGAGGACCCTCCCCTTGGACCGGTGGTGTACCTAGTGTGCTTGAAACCCAGAGGATCACTTTTTTTAACACTTTCCTCCTCACTATAACAAAATCATCTTCAGTAACAACCATGAATGAAACAGTAGTAACAAAAAAAGAAATGCAGACAGTGAAAAAAATTTATTGAACTTTTGAAATACATATTATGCCAGTAAAATTAAGTATTACAGTACAAAATAGGGCACAACTACTTAATCTTTTTATATGTATATAGTATTTATATATTTACTTAATGGTGTCAATTTTGATTACTTTGGTTATAGTCTATATAAAAATATGCACTTATATAATTGCCCCGTAACTAATAAGTAAATTTTAATAAAATCAATACACCCGCAAAAGGTACAATTTGAGCAACTAATAAATCATACCACTGATCTAATGCTCAACTTTCTTCATGTTGCACTGGTGAACTAAAATCTGCACTTTCCAAACGAAAATACTACACTTCATAGTCTGCGGTCTGTTTCACCATTTAAAATTTTAAGGACCAGTAGAGACTGCCAGCGGTTACACCGGATGACAGAAACGGAGCAATTCAGTTCTACTGTTTCATTTTCACAATCGCTGTCTATTATCATTTACTTCAAATACATCATTTAAGTGCAGGGATAGCTCGTCACACAGGGGCTGGAAACTCGTCCTGTGCCCCAGGTAGGCTTGAGCGATTCCAAATCCTTAGAACTTCGTCTCCAAATGAAGGTGTGAAGTTGTGTGTGAGTGGCGGTGGTGGGCACTGGACGACTGGGAGCTCTCAGAATTAACTTCCACGTGGAATATAAGCTTTGCTAAAGGATAAGTAATATTAAATGTACTAATTTGAAGCGTACATATATATTATTAAAACTCAACAGAATTTAAACCCACCAAAGATTTGTAAATGGAGGAGAATTTTATCACAGATCTCGTTTAGAATTGCCGAGTGCACGGTGATAAAAAGCAGACTGGTTTTTAGTCCTAGTTTCCTGATGGATTTTTTTAATTGTCTGCAGGCAGCCAGGCAGCCAGGCAACCACTCCCACCCTTAGTGTATTACGGTCACGGGCACAGTCTCGGCCCCTCCGTCACAGGGAAGGACACCCACTATCTCTACTCGGCTGGCCACCCACACCTCACCCTCTCCTCCAGCCTCCGCTTCCACAGTCCTAACAATACTTTCTTACCGGCAATGTTCCCCAGGCCGCTGAACCCAGCGTCTATACCTTACTTGACTTTTCAGCATCACCCAACCCAGCTGACAACGTCCTCTTTCTTGAAAATGGTCTACTTTTCCACTCATGTGTCCACAAGTCTTTCTTTCCAGTCTCCCCCACCAGCTTGCACTCCCACAGGCACCCACTAAAAGCTGGTGGTCCCAGAACCTGGTCCAGCCTCCTTCTCCTCTCACTAGAATCGAATGGGCTCCCATCATGCCACACACTGCACACCCTCAAGCCACTTTGTCCGGTTCTAAAGTGCCTAGTTACCACCTCCGCTTAACAGGTCTCTGACATCGCAAACTGAGTGTGCCCGTAACCTAAGACAATCATTGATTCATCTGACCTTCAACAAATATGCAACTGTCAGCAAATGGACACCAGCCATACACACCCGGCTCTTCCTCCAGTGTTCTCCCATCATGTAATCACATCACGGGTCACCCAGCTGCTTAAGCCGGAAACCTGGGAACGGCCCTTAACAGCGCCTTTTCCCCTAACCCCTCTACATTAGATCAGTCCTCCTGTCTTGCCTACCCTTCCGTGAAAACAGACCCTAGTCTACATGCCTCTGCATCTCCGGTCTACATGCCTCTGCATCTCCGCTGCCCGCCCCTGGTCCACGCTGCCATCACTTCTCACCTGGACGACTGCAGCAGCCTCCTCCCATCACTCATTCTTCCCCTCCTCCATTTTGCAGCCAGAGAGGTGTTTGTGGAGATGCCCGTCTTACAGTGAAATCCTCGGCTTAAAACTCTTCCTATATAGTTTGCAAAGTCGGACACGACCAGCCCCGGCCCTGGTTCTGCAGCCTCACCTCCGTGCACTGCGGCCGGTCTGGGGATTCTGGTCCCCAGTCTGCGGAGCGGCACCTCGCCTCCAGGTGTCACATGTGCACTGCCCCTCCCTCTTTGCCTCACTCATCCTCTCAGCCCTTCTAGATTAGACTACCTGCCTCTTCCCCAGTGAAGCTTCCCTGCCCCACCCAATGTCCAGTAGCCCA